CCCAAAGCCCCAGTAGATAGTTGTATGTCATAGTTGCACATCCTTCTAGTTGCTGTATGTGGGACGCGGCCTCAGCATGGCCGGAGACGCGGTGCGTTGGTGTGCGCGTGGGATCCGAACCCGGGCCGCCAGTAGCGGAGCACGGGCACTTAACCGCTAAGCCACGGGGCCGGCCCCTATGTGAACTTTTTAAGACCAGCATCTAGTAAAAGTACCTGGTACATATACACCTGAGGTCTACTGGATGAACTAAACTAAGCCCCTCCTATTTTCAAAGCCCTATTTTAGGAGAAAAATGTGTCTAAAGAAACCAAGCATAAAATGTGACAAGGGTTAAAATTCACCCCAGTCCAAAAACAGCTGAAAAGGCTCTGAGTCCTCAAGTCTATCTCCAGTTCTGTTTAACTCAACCTGTTCCAGCTTCTATGCATCATGGTCCTAAATCTCTGTGATTTGGGGTTATATCCCACAAGGTGATCCAAATTCAGTCTCCTTCTTACTTTGATAGTTGAAGGAGGTAGCTGACCTGGCTAACAGATGTATTTCAGTGCCTTTAAAAATATCCTCCATTGTAAAAACGGCAGACATCCCAGTTTCGGGAATCAGTCTTGTGAGTCTGAGTGCACGAATCAACGCACTTGGTTCCTAAAACTGCAAAGCCAGAAAAAACCTCTGGCCCTAGAATGACCTCAAAGTGTAGTCCAAGAGCTTCCTATGTTAAATATCAGGGTTAAAATAGTCTATTAACAGCAGGGATTAAAAAAAAAAAAGGAGGGATTTTTCTACTCTAAGAAGTTATGATTTATTATCCAAAGCAATAATGTAAAAAAATCAAGTGATGTAATGATGACTTTTAGAAGTCTGACCATTGCTTTCTGAAGCAATATATACTTGTTTTATAAAGGAGGGGGGAGAAATAAATTTAAGCAAAAAAGGGGAGGGAGGGAATCACCTATAATTATTAATTTGGTGAAGATCCAACTCCAGAATTAAGGTAATACTGTTTCTTCAGCTCAGTAAGAAAAGCTAAATTTCACATGTAGTTTAAAA